GGGAAACGATTTCGCGAACCAGGCAAGGTAGAAAGCTGAAACTTTGCAAGGATATTTTCTATGCACGTGTAAGCTAAAGATTTTAAACTGAGCTGTCGAGCCCCCTAACCACAGCCCCAAGCAGCTCCTCAACTCAAAAATCGTTCGCATCTCGAGCCTGAACCGCAATCATATATATAAGTGGACATGGATTTTTTGAAAAACGACCTTTCGAGCAATACTTTCAATTTTTGATGGACTGGAAATTTGCATTTTTTTAAAAAATTTGCATTTGTCATTTTTTCACAAAGCAAGTATTTACCGAAAAAACGACTGGACTTTATGCAAAAAGCCGGTAATCATGCACCTGGATGCCCGTGCGGCTATATAATACACCATCATCCCAACTGACGCCCTTCCTCCTGCATGCCGGAAAAGGATCAAAGCACTGCCAATATGAGCCCCGCGTTAGGCTACAGCGTAGGGATCATACCTGCTAATAGCGATCTGCGAGTTTAGTGCAAAAACGCGTGATCGCACCGGAGAGCCTGGTGCGTCCAGCCTGAGTTGGATTTGTGCAGTGCAAAAACGCATACTGTCGAGGGGATTGTCTCTCTGTGTGCGCGCATGTTTATACTGAGCTTTTCATCTGAAAGTGGCAACGTGCCAGTTTAAGCTGACCAAGAAACTATGGAAAATTTTACTTTTGCACCTTTGCTTGTCGCCAGCTGTTGTATTCGTGAAAGTAAATTGAGCTTTCCAGCCCTCTGCATCTCATGTGCGGACACATAAAAATTTGTGGACAGTTTTTTAGCTTCGCAGTTGTAGCAGCTAGAGAACTGAAACTTCCTGGGCGTGGCCGAAGGCTGCGTTCGACTAAGTGAACGTGATAATAACTCCCACGTTTTTTACATGTCTCACTTACGAGTACTTGAAATTTGACGTAATTGCACAGCCGAAACAGCTAGAATGCTGAAATTTTCTGATCATGGCCCACGACCATGTTCAGCGATTGTGCATAAAAGGAACCTTTAGTTTTCTTCCTCACGTACGAACACTTGCAATTTGACATGACTTCGCAGTCAAAGCAGTTGTAGGGCTGAAATTTTCTAAACATTTCTCAAGACCGTGTTCGAGCAAGCGCACGTGGAAACAGCACCACGTTTCTTCTTACGTGTGAACGCCGTGAAACTTGACATAGCTCCGCAACCGATGCACCTAGAGCAGACGTGGGCAATCTCTAGTGACACGCGGGCCTGATTTACATACTTAAACCGGCGAGCCACTTTTTATGCGTTTTTGCACATATGCAAAATGCAAAAATACGTATTGGGAAGAGGCTGTGTGTGTGTGTGCGTGTGTGTGTGT